GGGGGGGGGGGTGGCCCTCCGTGGGGCTGGGGCGGTCGCAGGGGTTGATGCTGCTCTTCCCTCTACACCGACAGGGCTGTGGCCCCGGGCCCTGCTGGGCTGCGGGAGCGCCGGGAAAACGTAATACCGTCTTGGCTTTTTTTAGCTGAGCTTTATTTCTTTTGCCTCCATCACCACCCGTTTTAATTCATTTCTAGGACACACCACTAATTTAGGAGGTAGCTTTGGCTTTCTGCTCCCCTGTGAGAACCTGTTGAAATGCAGGTGTGAGTTTGTGCATCGTGTTTCCAGGGGAACCCTACTGTCAATCTTTTGGGGTAGCCATAATCAGCCACAAGCAAGACTTAAGCCACTATAGAGGGATAGTCAACCTGAGCCCAGTCATGCAAGGTTTTTTTTCTTTATTTTCCTTCTTTTTTTCTATTTTTCTGTCTTGATATCAATTACCAAAGTTTGGTTGCCAAGTGTCTTTAACCGTGGTTATCCAATTACCTGCTCCACATCTTCATCCCGCCCCCAGACTAGGATTCTTATTTCAAACTCATACCTGTCTACGCTTTCTTGTTGCACAGCCCAACTACCCACAACTGTGGTCACAACCAAAACTCCCATCTGCTTAGCTTGAATCCCATATCCATCCCACCAAATTACAAACTTTCTTCTCATTGGGAATCTGCATCCACAAGGCAGGATTTAGCCACATCCCCTCAGCCACGTTAACACCTTGCTTGCCTCTTTCGTTTTAGTAATCTCAGCTTAGTCTTTGCTCAATTTAGCCTTGCTTCTGAAGATGCGCACCTTGGCATACTGTAAGTGAATATTGTCTAGAGAGAGCCCAGAGTTGCTGCAGCTTAAAAGAGTAAAGTACTGTCAAGCACCTGCTTGGTATTTTCAGAGGCATTTGTTCTGGTAGCTCAGAGAAACATTTCCAGGCAGGCAGTTGAAACGAAATTGTGCATTGCTCTGCCTTAGGTACATACATAAAACACTATCACTAGGGTCTATTGATGGAATATATGTTTATATGCAAGATAGAGTTCTCAAGCAGCCTGCTAAGTTCACCACAAGACTTTCAGCATCACAAAATTATTTCTGAATAGTCTCCAATTTTACACTGCTTTTTACAAGATGATCATGCAGTTTCTTAACCTTTCAATGTATGGAATAGATCTTTTAATGACTACTTTGCACATAGAAAATAAGCTTAATTCTTTTTTTCCTTGAGAAACATGAAAAGAACAATAGGGCGTTGGTTTTATATAAATGCTTTCTTGATTATTTCCTGCACTTTGTCTCTCTTTAACAGTGACATAGTGTCTAAAGAATAACTTTCTCATAATTTTGCTCCCATTTGTTTGGCATTGTGGTGAAGCTGTAAGTCTATGTTGATATCATTATGATGTTGTTTCCTTTAAAAACTGCCTCTCGCATCAGTAGAATTCTGGGATCTCGTATTTGAAAATTTGCTGCAGTTTTGTCTTCACAGTAATACCAATTATCAAGGATGCTTTTGGGCATTTTTTTTTTCCTCAGAATTTTAGAGGCCACCCTTGTCTGAGTTTGTTCCACGTTACCTAGCGTGGGTGGACTTAACGAGGCAGTAACTTTTCTTTTAGTGACCAGGCAAGAAAGGAGTAGGTAGTCACCTACTGAAGCCACAGGAACAGCAGCGCTGTCTCAGGCCCCATCAGAACAGGAGATGTGCCTACATCACGACCAGTCTGGTGCAGTCTGCTGGGGTGTTAATAGGCTGCCCTTCTGGTGTCTTCTGTTCTGTGTACAGCTGGTAGATTAGCACTTAAAGAGATTTGTAATGGAACTTCACTTTTATGCAATGTGCTGATCTTGAGTTAATAGAACTGTACCATTGGTTTTTACTATTGCAGGCTTTGTATGGATGCAGTTTCTGTTGAACTCTGCCGTTTTAGCATATACAGTATTTTTCTGTTTTCTGAAAGCTAAACTTTCATACCTAGATTGTGGAAATCCCTGAGGCTGCCTCATTTTACATCTTATGTACATTCAACTTAATAGGTACATCTGTTAAACTGCTTTCTGGACAGGATTAATTGTATTCTAGAATCTTGGTTTTGTTATGGTTTTAGATGCCACACTCAGATGGAGCACCTTCCAATAAAAAGACTTTGAGAACTTCGTTTCTTCCCACTGTTTTACCTTCGTCAGTCACATCTGATATGTCACCATTACAGAATAAACTATTGACATACCGAAGATGCAACGAACAGCAAGAGATGCTTAATCAGTTACTGTGAGTTTCATGTAATTCAAGAAATGTTGAAATTCAAATGAAAGAAACATTGCACATTTGACATCTGACAAATAATAATGGTGTTTGTTAATTTTAGAGGTTTTTGATGTCACTATTGCAGTGCTGAACACTTTCCATCTAAAATCATTAATAATAGAAGAACATTTGATAGACTCTCTGATGTATTTTCTTTTACAGCACTCAAAATCTGCTTGAGGGTATGTTTGTTGGGATGAGTAGAAAGTGACCTTCACATTTTGAATGTTGTTTATGATAGACTGAAAAAAATCCTTTCTCTTTATGAAAACCTTTTCAAAGAGAATCAAAGTCTGGATTACTTGCTTGCTTTTGTATGAATGATCCAAATGTGGGTCTACTTCTAACAGGCTTCTTTGTCACTATCTTAATGCATTTGCTGCTGAGCTCAGTGATCTGTGTCGCTGCCAGAGTAGCACAGCTGCCAAGATGATTGGTAAATTCACATAAAATTGTCTTTCAAGATTTTCATTTGCAAAGGAGAAAAGACAATAGGAAAAGGCTGCTTTCGTATAATTGTTGTAGGTCTGATAGAAAATTAGGTTCTTCTTATTTTATTATTTTGATAGAAATTTATTCCCAAAATACCTACATTATTTTCAGGAACTTACCAAAGAATCCCTAGACGTGTTGATTATCTTGGCATAAATATGAGAGGATTATGTGGGCTAAGGTTGCATTGTTTATAGTAGTAGTATGAAATATATAGCAACTTGCATTTTCATGTAAAAGATTAAAAAGGTAAGGAAATCTAATGGTATTAGGTTAGGTATTAGGATTAAAAAGCACAGAAAAAATTGTTTTGGCCTTCAGAAGAAGAAATGGAAATTAAAGACCTACATACAGTCTTAATTTAACCCATTTTAAATATTGTCACTGATATCAATAATTTTATTTTTGTTGGTGTGGGTTTTTAGTGATTCCATTTACTGTGACTGGATTTGGTGATGGTAACCAGTTACTTAACTGATTCCTATGCACTTGATGTTCCACTTCAGTGGCTAGATTAAGTGGCCAAGTATTACAGGTTGTTTTTTCTCAAAAGATACTTGTATGTGTCCCAAATTGTTGGCTTCATTGGAGCTAGGCAGTGGTATAAAACTAAGTTGCAGGATTGAAGTCTGAGAATAATTTATCACAGAAGGGAATCTGATTTGTGCCAAAGATAAGTGAGGGGGATTGCCTTTTTTCCTTTTTTTTTTTTTTTTTTTAAATAATGGTAGCAACAATCAGTTATAGAAAGCAGTTAATCTATATAGAAGTTAAAAGTAGAGAAAGATGTTTCCTTTCTTTTAATAGTTTAAAGGCTGTTATAATACAAATCTAAGAAACAAGAAGTCTTTTAATTTTAGCTCTTGGAAAGTAAATCCTGACCTTTCAATGATACCTGCAGTAGCAGAGTGCAGTTTTTAGAATGCAGGTGATCAGTATGCGGAAAATGTCAACTATGTTGTGGTGATAACTTACTGTGCAGTAAGGTGACTGCTGACCAGCCATCTGACAAACAGTGAATATTCTGCTGGAACATTGATTCAGTTAGTTTTTTGTACAAAGTGAACTGTCTTTTAAGTAAGGTCCCGTGAAGTAATGATTTGAGTGTATACTTGAAATTGGCAGTCTTAACTTCCACTTGGGAGTTTTTAGCTGAGTTATATTGAAATAAAGCTGAAATACTCTTTGCAAGATATGTACAGAGTGTATCCCAAAAGGATGGACTGAAATGTTTTAATGCATAAGGTCAGCAGGACATGCCAACATTAACCATTTAAAGTTTTCTGATAGTTTAGCAATTCTTATTTTTAGCAATTTATAACCACAGGCAGTAAAAAAGAGCTGGTCTTAAAATAAACAGCTTTAGGAGTTTTGTTCTAAAATTTTTTCTTTTTTTCTTTTTTTTTTTTTTAATCTTTTCATAATACAGTTGGACAAGATCTGTTGTAGTTGTTTGAGGAGAATTAAGATATAAACCTAACAGGAGCACTGGGCAATTGGATGAGGTGAATCAAGGCATGTGTATATCGTGATTGTAGTCAAGATAAATGTGGGCCTTTATAATATAAAGAGAAGACAGAGCATGCAAAGGCAGCCTTACCTTTTAGTCATCAAAGAGTTGGTAAACATGAAAAAACAGGTTGCATCAATTAAAATGATAGCATTATTTTTAATATATTATTTGTACTTTTTCTGTACTTCTGACTCCCATGTTTTACTTTAGAATTGATCGAGCTTTAAAAGTCTATCACATATCCATGGAAGAAAAATATCACAGAGATCCTGTACCTCCTATCCCGGAACTGCCTTCCACTGTGAGAAAGTATTTCTTTAATATTTTAACTGTTGCCTGTTTTGTTCTTTGTTATTGGGGCGTTTATGCCTCTTACTTCTTAGTATTTACTTAAAGATGCTTATATCAATCCTTAGTAATTTATAAATGTATTTATATGCTCAAGTAGTCCCACTGAAATTGATACCTGTATATCTACAGAATAAAGTCTTTATTTAGGACTAATATTTGTTAGATTTTGTATTTCTGATTTTTTTTTTGTTTATATGTTCTTAATACATTACGATTTTCTGTTCCTTTTTATACAGATGAACAGTGAGCAAAAACAACGAAGAGTGAGTTAAGTTCTTTTTTAGACTAGAAGAGTGAATGGTCTCTATTCAGAGGGGTTGAGTATGTTGTGTGGAATTAATGGTGGTTAAACAGGAAAAGCTTTTTCAGTAGTCTTGTTGGGGAAAAATGGAATAGGAAGCAAAATAGGAATCTTTTCTTGTGGTCCAATAGAAGGAAAGTATTTTTCTCTTATAGAAAGTATGTCCATCAGTAATTTAAATTTTGATCTAAACCTTAGTTAAAGATTATTACTTAGAAAAATTCTAACAGGCTTCAGGATTTTTTCAAAACAGGAAAAGCTTTTTCAGTAGTCTTGTTGGGGAAAAATGGAATAGGAAGCAAAATAGGAATCTTTTCTTGTGGTCCAATAGAAGGAAAGTATTTTTCTCTTATAGAAAGTATGTCCATCAGTAATTTAAATTTTGATCTAAACCTTAGTTAAAGATTATTACTTAGAAAAATTCTAACAGGCTTCAGGATTTTTTCAGTTGAGGTCATAGTTCGTACTCTAGCCTGCACAAAAAGTAGTCTTTGACATTGTTCACCTGATTTGAAAAACATGTACAAATCCTGGAATTTGTGTATAAATTTTAAAATAAGACTTTATCTCTGAGAGCCACTTTAAACTCAGATTAGCATTGAAATACTTATATTAAGTAGCTTAAGGAAACATCTATTTTTCTTTGCTGCTGTTAGGTAAATTCATTCTGAAGACTATAGAGATTCAGATCCCTTTTTGTTTTATAACAAAGCTATCACTCAAAAGCATAAATACCTATTTCTTTGGCCAAAAAAAAAATCCTATTTGTGCATACTTTTTGCCAGATAAATGTTTGTCCAAAGAACAATAACAGGAACCTTGAACTGGTTTATTGTCGGTCATAAACTTCAGCAGAGAACCAAGGAAAATGCCATACTAAAAAGTACAATATTTTGTATTTAAGCATTGAGACAAGGAGACTGTTTTACTAACCACAGAGTAGCTTTTAGTGTACTAGTCAGTGAATACAAAAAAGATTATATTATGTTGCCTGCCCTTAAGTATAAGAAATGGTGAATAAAAAGAGACTTCATTGTCAAGCCTAACACAAAAATATTTACGTAGCCAATTATTAGACCTCTGACAATATTGTCCTTTCAGACAAACTATCTCTTCATGAAGAAGTGTGTGCAAAGTAATCCCGTGGTTCCCATTCAGCAGCAGTGGCTAATGTCTATGCTCACATTGGTGCCACAGTCGCTTATGGAAGGCAAAGAGAGAGAGCTGTTAGCTGAAAAGCTTTTAGGGGAGATAATAAGGGATTATGAAATGAGCATGAGAAGATGTGTGGGTAAGTACCAGAAACTACACAGTACTAATATGAATATATTAATGTGTGTCTATATATATTATAAGCTGTTCCATATTCTCCCACTGAAAATAATTTTTCTAGATTGTTCTTTCAGCCAGGCATGATCTTTGTAATTAACCACTAATTTCTCTTTTTCTGCCTCATCAAATGTGTATTGGCTGTAATGTTTAAGGCAAAACTTGCTGATTAGATTTGGACTAGTAAAAAGTTAACCAGCTGAAGGTATAGTTCAAGCAAAGACAAAGGCAGCTGTAGACTTCGTGAGAAAAAGGTTGATTGCTGATGACCTTATTTAATTATGTCTTTAACCTGTTTAGTTAATTTGATGCAAGAATGTATTGCTGTTTTCTACTAAATAAAGTAGAAACTTTTCATGTACTAGTCATTCTTTTTTTTGCCTCTTCAGCAACAGCAGCTTTTTTTTTTTAAGCTCTTCATCCACAAGCACATCCATAAGTTTTCTGATGCTGCTTTGTATGCATGAGGAAGCTCGCAATAAAAATCTGCAAAGATAATTAGCTGTTTTCAGATATCACTCGTACAACTCACTTCAATTTTTAAACATTTTTAAAAGAGTCATGAACTGGAATTTTGAAAGTGTATTCCCTTGAAATCATGTATTAATGTCTCTTTTATTTACATTTTTAGTATCTGAAATTGAGCCAAATTTTGTCAATATTTTGGTGGATGGCTGATCTTTTTAAAAACGCAAATAAAATACACAATTTAACATGGGACTAACTTCTTCGTAATGTCATCAGTGGGATAAGTATCATAGCCCCTTATAATTATATTCAACAAAACTGTCATAAATACTTTGAATCATAGAATATCTCAAGTTGGAAGGGACCCGTAAGGATCATGGAGTCCAACTCCCTGCTCCTCACAGGACTACCTAAAAGTAAACCATATGACTAAGAGCATCATCTGGATGCTCCTTGAACTCTGACAGACTTGGTGCCATGACCACTTCCCTGGGGAGCCTGTTCCAGTGACTGACCATCCTCTCAGTGAAGAAATTACTTAAGAAAGTACTTAATTATTTAAACACTAGTCTATCTGAAAATCTTCATGAATAGGGGACAGAACTGGAATTAAGCCGCCCGAATCTGTATATATTTAGCAGAAGCTGTGATTTTGAATTACCTTTGGGAGAATGTGTTTTGAAGACTTGGATGATACGGTTACCTTTCCATCCTACTATGTGCTTGGTTCAACCTGGAGAAAGACTGAGGAAGTACAGTGCCTATTGAATATGGCTTAATTTTCTTCTAATGTTCATATATATATTTTTTTTCCTAGTGCGAAATGTTCTTACTAAACCAGACATAAAAGGACTTGAAGATGAAGAGGAGGCACCTTTGCCTCTATCACCTCTGTGAGTGGATTAAGTTAGCAAATAACCCACTGGTGAAACACACTCAGTTGCATGAGTGAAGTTCTTGTTGAGCTGCATGAACAGAGTTATGGCACAATATTAATTCTGGAGTCCCTTAATGAGATGTTTTTTTCTGTCTGTAGAGGATCTTAGATTTGAACATCTTATATCTGAATGCTTTACAAAGTTTTAGCACTGACAGTGTCTTATTACTGTTGTTACAGTTATAGAGTAGCACTAATGACTGCAAATGAGATTTCTGGCTCTGAGTACCCAGAAACTAAAGTCGTACTGCAGCCACCTCTGGAAAGAAGTGTGTGTGTACAGGGCAGTTTACTGGCAGACAGCAGCATTGTACAGTACTTTAACATGCATCTAATGCCAAGGTTTCATATAACTTTGGTGTTACGAGGTGAAACCTTGAGACTGAAGGAAAGGTGGTTATGCTCTGCCAAACTAGAAGAGGAATTCAGGTAGACAGAATATAATTACCTGAACTGCACAATTTGCTGAAGCATCAGAATGTGTGCCATCTAAATATTGATGATAAATACTTCCTGTTAGCAGTTGGTGAAGTTAGAAGTTTACATTGAAAGAGCTTCAGGAAGAGCAGGTGATCTGAAAATACTCTGGAGTATAAAACACAGTTGATCAGACAGAGTAACTTTATGGCTTCCCTTGCACCATATTGGGGATATGTGTATGGCACTTAAATAACTATTCATGTTAGGGAATAAGCTTTGTAATAGTACTTTTTATATGTAAGAATGTTTTATTCAAGTATTGCTTGAGCTGTTCTTTTTTTTGTTTATTTGTTTTGGTGGTTGGTTGTTTTTTGTGGTTTTTTTTTCCAGAGGCCTGGACTTTTCCAGACCATGGCATAACAATTTTATCCAAGCAAAAAATCAAATGCTTTCCAACTTGCACATTCTCCACCCCACAATGAAAACTCTACTGGATTTTGGTTATGCAGCATTCTCTACCTGTCTTATATTGGATTTCTCAAGTTTCAGGTAAAGTCTGTTTTAGCGAATTATTAACCCATATAGGTTTTTGAAGCTGGTAAAAAAGAGTTTGTTCAATTCTATTATTTATCATAGCGGTTTTTTATATAATAAATTTCTCCAATGTGTCATTTTGTGTTCTTTGAGAGGTTACTTTGTGTTATGACACATTTGACTTTTCTTCTCTCTGTTACATATAAATATTTTATTGGTGCTTAAATTGCTGGTAGTATCAGCCCTTTTGATTTATGTTTTGCCTTTAATTCTGTAAAGGTTTCCTCATTATTTATTTAATCTTAATGCCATGATCCCCATAGAAGTCTGGTTGAAGCAGCACTTGAAAAATTGACTTCTAGTAGTATTACTATCTGTAGGGAATTCTACGCTAACCCTAAAGATCAGATTTCTTGCTGGTTTTCATCAGTTGTTCTAAGATTAAAAATAAAATTCTTTTAATTTTCATAATTTTCAATATCTTTTTCCTCATTATTTTTTCTGGTAACTGTTCTTTATTTCCTGGCGTTTGGGGTATTTTTTTCCTCATTTAAATTTACAGAAATTATGCTTAGGTTCCCACTGTGCTTTCTGCTAAAAAAGACTGGGTTGGTAATACCGTACAGATTACTGTTACTTTACTCCATGGGTTTTTTAATTTTTTTAATAAAGTTGCCTGTAACTTTCTTTTCTAGATTGAAAGGGCCAATTGACTGTGAATCTTTAAAGACTGATGTCTCTCTAAGCTGTTCTAAAGCAGAAGAGAAGATATTGAATACGTGGTATCAAAGAGTTATTGGTCTCTTTACGCAGAAGGAGTCATTGAATGGTGTAAAGTTGGATCAGGTTGACTCTTTTTATAACTGTGTGGCTACACTTATGTCTAATCAGGTAAAAATCTTTCCTCTCTGTGATAAACTTAATGTGAAATTTAGGTAATTTTAATGAGTCAGCACATTATATGATATGGGGCCTGTTTAATTAATCATTGTTAGCCAACTGTTGCATTTAATCCAGTAAAGTATTCAAAGTGTTAAATATTTCTAACTTCCATTATTTAAAATAAATACATGGTCTTGTCTATTTCTTCTAGTTTTTTAGATGCAGAAAATTACTCATTCTACCAAACAGAATGTAATTAGCTTAAAGAAGGAAATATCTCAGTGTTCTAAGGACCCTTCCTATCACTGATCTTGGCGCTACAATTACGTGTCATATATTAGCAAAATGAACAAAACCTCGTCTCTCTCCCTTGAAAGCAAACATACCTACACAAACAGATGAAAAGTCCAGCTCTGCTAATGTGTATGCAAGTGGCTATAGTTCTGCAAAATTTCCAAACAGTTTTTTTCTGGGGAAAATGATACCACAATGCTTTGCGAGTTAATTTTTTTCCTCCCTGATTATTTATATCGAGATGGAAGTTATATGAAGAGTTTCTCAGTTAAATTTTTTTGTTTTAGTAATTTCCAATTGTTTTATTTCCTAATAATTATAGAACAAGAACATTCAAATGAAATCACTGATTTCAGACTGAGACAGTTGTTTTTCAAAGTTCTTAGTTCACTGAAAATTAAAAATCCTTTAACTTCCAATTAACTCAAAGCATCTGTTGTTTACATTGTTCTATTTAAGAACATAACAATCAGTGGGAATATATATGCTCAGCAGTTTGAGAAGGCAGTCATTTTTAGGATTAAACCTGTATTTACTTTGTAGAAAAATAATGGAACAATAGTCTAATCAAATCATTTTCATATTAAAAAAAAGAAGTCAGAGGAAAATGCATTCCAGATATTTAATTTATACTTAAAACATGTATTAGTAATAGACTTACTTTTGTAGCAAAAATAAATGCATGGGCTTTACTGAAATGTTTTTTTACTTGTTCATTAGTTTACATCCTTTAAGGATTGGGACTAATGCCCGCTGAAGTCATTAGAAAAATTCACATTACTTCAGTTATCCATGAATCAGGCCAAAAGTACTAAAATGAATGGAAATCCTGGCTTACTGAATGAAGGGAAAGTGGGATAGGGCTTTCTGTTCTTTCAACTAATAGGTGATATATGTTATTACCTAGCTGAAAGAATTATTGAGAAGAACGGTTGAAGCTTTTGTGAAACTTTTTGATCCTGAAGACAGAAATGGTCTACCTTTATTTAAGATGGAATTGACTCTTGATGAAAAGAAAATGGAGTTTTATCCAAGCTTCCAAGACCTAGAAGAAGCAATTCTGTTTATAGTAAATCGTATAGGACAGACTCTTCAGGTGTGCTTTTATCTTTATTTTTAAATATGTAACTGCTAAGTTGCTCTGTACATGAAAATATTAGTAATTTAGGACTCTGACTACTGTGGTAATGGGAAGCAGAATGCAACTTGAGGTATTTATTTTCCATGAGCGTTCTGCAGGTCACATGAATCTTGATGCCCAGCGGAACTCCAGGCTTTGAAACTAATTTTGTTACTCCTTTTTCATAAAAAAATTGGTACACCTGCTACTGATTGTTTTAGTCTGCTATTTTAATCTGCAAATCTGTGTGTATGTCTACAAATTAATTGTCTGCTTGTCCATTACATAGAAGTCAGGCTGAAAACTTACCCAGGAAAGAAAACTAGATGGAAGATAACCTTTTTGTTTTCTTCTTTGGTGTGTTTAGAAAACCTGAGAGTGCTTTAAGTATAAGTAACCACATATTCTAATTTATTTAGGTATTTATTTTTAACATTGAAAATCAAGTCGTTTTGCAGTGTATACTTTCTGTGAACTAACATCTTGCAGGGAAATACAATTAGCACCTTAGTTATATGTGTGATGATTTACAATAAATTTGCATAATAATTAAGATCCCCAGAGAAAGACAAGGCAAATTAGAGTTGATATTCCTTTTCTTTCTAAGAAAAAGAAAAGCCTCAAATCCCTAACAACTAATATATACAATGTCTGAAGATTTATGTCTTAGGAACCAATCTGTGACTCCAGGGAAGACAGCCTTTCTAGGGGCTTTAGATGTATCCTGGTGGACTTAGTATTGGCCTTTAATCATACATGATGGTACTTTCAGAGAAGTGTTTTGGGTTTAGTTTTGTGTGTTTGCACGTAGGATGGAATTTATTTTATGTAAGATTGGATAATTATTTTTTGTCTGTTTTGCATGTTTCCTGTTAAACTTTCTGAATCAAGAGGAGTTGTTCTAGGTGTGTATGAAGCACCTGGCCTTGGTCATGATTAGGGTCTAATACTTTTCTGATACAGTGTTTTCTGCAGATTGCAACTTACTTTTAAAATATATGTATCCCTGCATTGCTTTTTAAAATTTAAATAATCAGAACTTGCACTTCTATTAGAACATCCAGACAGTACGTTCTTGGCTGATGGGAGGCACTACAACTCTGGACACTGAGCTTCCTAATCATGTCATAGTATGGGCCACATCTACACTGAAAAAATCTATCAGAGACAACTTAGAAGGTCCAAAGGAATATTTTGAAAACTATGGTGAGCGATAGAAGAGTATTTAAATAACTGTTACTTCTTTGAAATAAGTAACTTACTGTACAGTGTATGCGTTATAATAATATAATATTATTGAATTGTAGTTGAAAGGTATGGCTGGCTTGTAGATGGAACTGCACAGGCACGGATAGAAAGATTTGAAGCAGAAGAACACAGTTTTGATGAATATACTGCTGTAAGTTTTAATTCTACATTTTATATATAATTTTTACTATACATACAGCAATAATAAAAAGGGAACAGAGGATAACGGGTGCTTAGCCTTTAGCTAAAAATTATGTTGACTACCTACAAATCTACAACATAAGTGTTTTTTTTCCCTAAAAGTCTGTGGTAAATAGAAGAAATTATTATTTATTTTCTTCAAAGTGTAATACTTATTCATGTAGCCAAGTATTTAAATAACAGCTCTGAAGTGTAAAATCTAATGTTTTTCTGAAGTTCATAGATGAATTCTTCACCCTCAAGAAGGAAATCTTGAGTTTACCAGAGGTGGCTCATTTCCCTATGATCTGTTTGAATTGTGAGGATTTCAAGCAAAGTTTGGCTAGTAATGCAAACACCTTTGCAAAAATGCTAATGGACAGAATAGTTGGGAATCACAGAGAGGAAAATGAAAAGTAAGTAGAATTTTCTGCTTGTGAATGCCATATGTGATAAATGCATAGTAGAAACGTGTAGAAGAAATGCAAATATACCATACTCCTGTTCAGTGAAGACTCTTGGCTAACTAATGATCTCGTGCAAGTTGCACCAGCTGATGTATTTTTTCCTCTGCTTTAGACTCAAAAAGTAGTAGGGGAACTTACTAATAGACTTAGATAATGGAGGAGCTAAAAGATCAAAGGGCTTCATTACTGTTCTGGCTTTTTGAGTGTGAAATACAGTACTACTGCACTGCCAAAGGAAAGACTAGCTAGATTCTCTTATTACATGACAGATACCTCCTAGGTTTTTATAGATAATGACAGATAATAACACTGATCAATTCTAAAGGTTAGTTTGCAGGTATGGATTAAATAATGAGTGAGGTCATATTAAATTGTTTGGTTAAAACGAACAATTATAGTCTAGTCTTATAGTGATTCTGCACTACCAAAATGGCAAAATATTTACTAGGAAAGTGTTTTTATGTATGCTAATGATACTGTACTTAAGTTCATGTACTTAACCAAAGCAATTGAAGCATTTATTGCAAAAGAATACCCCAAAATCCAAACAACTTAATTGTTCCATGTTAATAAACAGTATTTTTCTAGACTGATTTAGTCATATTGCCTATTTAGTTTCATAAAGTAATGGAGTTTGTGCAGGGTTAATACTTAAAGAAGTAATTTGAACTTCTAATTCTATTAAAGCTGAGCTTGAAGCCAGTCAAACTAAAACCTTAAAATGTTGATATTTTATGTTAAATAAATTAATAGGATATGCAGGGAATTTGAAGCCATTAAGGAACGTGCATTGAAAGTTCCTGAGACAACAGAGGAAATGGTGGAAACAATAGCTTACATAAAGAAGGTCAAAACCAAAGGTATTCAGGACCTGTTATTAAGGATCAAGGTAAATGACTATCTTATAATTCTTAATCTTTTACCAAATGTGCTGGCCTATACAAATACAGAATTCATTCTGGAGTGCAGACTTCTGTCTGATCATGCTGCATGTATGAATAAACTATACCCTCAGTGTTACTTCAGAGAGAAGTGGGAAGTCCAGCTCATGCTTTGCCATATGCCTTTCTTTCTTATTCCTCATTCCCATGTGTTCTGCATGTCAGTGAGGAAATGCAGCTTTTAATAAATCATAGCAGATTGTAAGACACTCAGTTTATTGTTTGTACCTAAAGACTTACTTGAGGGCTGCTTAAAAAGCTATTTGTGAAAATGTAACACACAAGTGTAAAGAGAATTTTATGTGTAAAAACAGTTATGACTTTGAACATATAAGAAGCAATTTACTATTTGAGCAGAATGTAGATGATGTTGCATTAGCGTTACTTTGTGTGTGCTCAGAGAACAAAATGGAAAAATTGTGTAAGGTGTGGGTCAGCCAAAAACATTACAGGATAAGAAGCTCTTTGCTATATGTTATGATGATATGTATCAGATTTTCTGTTATGGTAATAGGTCTGTAAATATAACACACATTTATTCTGCAGAATTTATATTTTTTATATTTTTTCATAATATTAGCTTTTTTGCATGTAGATTTACAGGCCACAGGAAGCATATTTAGAGAACTAAGCTCACGTTTGGGGCAGGGATTTGAATAACTTTTTATTTGTATTTTGAATATTAATATTCAATTGGCTGAAGTAACTCTGGATTCTGAAAAGTCTGTGAAATGTAGATCGCTATTTCATCTTTGCAGATAATATTGTCCTACCCTATATTTTAAACAGACCTATGATAACTAAAGTTTTGTGAAATCTCTTTTTACAGGAGTGCTGTTGGCAAATGAATTACCTCTTAGATGTTTTTTTATTTGCTCCTGAAGACATTGTACTGAATGCAACAGTTCTATTATGGCCAAAGAAGATTAACCCTATTTTTGATGAGCATGATGATGTAAGAGCACTTTCTCAGTTCATGGTGTATTTTGGCTTGTTAGACTTTTCACTTTACTTGAGCTAAATGTATTTACACATATAACGTGAACCATACTAATTTAGACATGCAGAAATAACAGATTTCCTGATTTTTATATCAACAGAGGGCTTTTTATGGAATAATTTAAAAATTGTCACTGTAACTTAAAACCTTCAGCAAGTCTTATGATCTTAATTTGTTTGTGGTCAGTACTAGGTAATTCATAGGAAGGTGAAAATTCACTACACTGCAGTTGACTAGTACTGAAAATGTAATTGCCCGGCCCTTAGTAAGAGTTAGTGCTCTGGACAGGAAGTAATTTAGTTAAAATGATGCTTTGTTCTGTCAATAAAAGAACAGTGGGAATTGTGTTTTTCAGGTAGCAATCATTAATAGAAAGTATGCAACATCTGATTTTCTCTGTGTGTGTAGATTACTTTATTTTCTTCCACTTGTCTGTATTCATCTTGCTAGCATTCTTTCTTTCTGGCTATGATACAGTAAGTCAAGCCTTTTGGTGTTCTCTTGCCTCTCTATAGTAATTTAGCATAGATTTAATAATTTCTTCTAAAAATGTTTAAGAATTAACAATTAAAAGATACTGATATTTTTATTTTTTAAAATGTTAAATATCACAATCGAGGATTTCTTTTTCACCAAGTCTTATTTAGATACTAAGGAGTATGTCCAAGGCTAGTAAATATGCCTCTGTCTTAAAACATACGCAGCTTGGGAGACTGCTATGTCTGTAAAATATTTTCTTTGCATTTTATCATTCTTTTAATCCCCAAAAATAAATGAGTGAAATTAATTTTCTACTTGTACACAGAGAGTCCGTGATCCTTGTTCAAATTCTTTTTAATGAAAATGGTAGTGCAGAGTGTATCTGACTTAATGAGAGTCCCTCAGGAGTATATCTCTGTGTACTTGCATTTGCAACTTGCATTGTGCTAGAGCTTGAGGACAAGAATAGTTTTATGTCAAGTTTTTGAGTCTCCATATTTGCATTTTATACTCTCAGATACAAGCCCATTCTTATTCTAATGCAGTAGGAAAAGACTGGTTCCTCCTTTGCAGAAGTTCTGTTTGCTTCACAATTTTTGTGTGTCAGTAGGTGTCCTTGTCTTAGGAGATCTCCTCTGCCTTGGTTGATTTCTTGTTTGGTACCTTAAAAATAACCCCTCTGTGTGGAGACCCTGTGCTTTAGAGTGGTCTTATGTTCTAGAATTTCTGCCTTTTATAGCAGTAGATACACGTGGGATAGCATGGGCTTTCAACAACTGTAGATGTCCTCTTTCGGCAATAAAACACTGAATCCCAAAGATGAGAATCTCTCTATTTTTTTCTGTGATACTTTCCTATCTTTTGTCTGATTGCTGAAGGAGTCCTTTAAGGTGACCGAAACTGCTATGGTATTGAGATATGGGTTCCATGTTAACATACAGAGGTTGCACACACTTAAATGGGACACATAGAAAGCAACTCCTGAAGAAATTTCAATTATTATAAGGATAATAACTTATCTGTATTGTTTATTTTCTGTCTGTGTTAAATGTTTAATTTATATGGTACTAATATCTTAGTAACTTAGTATGTTAATCATTGAAAGGACTTGCAACCACTTTTGCATTGCTTTTTTATCATTTAAAAAAAAATCAATTGTTTTGTAGCTGATTGAACAGTCTAAACGTAAAGGAGAGCAAGAACTAATACATAAATATGAGAAACTGATGGTGGAATTAGACAAGCTGACGCGTTCTATGGCAGAGTTTGAAGAATACTCAGAACTGGATTGCATGCAGCAGGTCTGATTAACATTTAGTATAAAATGGGTGGAAATGTTTTGTATGTTTAATACACAGGGGTCATGGAAGAAACTTAGAATTAAAAGTAATCAGTTAATTTAACAAATGTGAACTAAAACGTTTATTATCTTCTTGCCACAACGAACAAATTCATAAAATTACCCCTGGACCCCCCTTTTTGTATTACATTGGCGATAACATTTGACTTAAAGGGAAGTTTACTATGAAGTTGTGCTTAAATTAGCTGAAAGGTAATCCCAGCAAGGACTGAGATATTACAGATGTATAAAGTGAATTATTTGTTTACTCTGGTTTATATAAAGCATGGAATTCTGGCCCCAGTGACATTATTTGCAAATAGCTTCAGTGGGATCAGAATTTCCTTCCCTGTTTTTGATATACTGAAGAA